AGGGCGGGAACCCCCTTGGGGGAAAGTTGGTGGACAGTAGACAGCAATAGTTTGGTGGACCAAGCGGTCCCCAGGAAAATCTGACCTCATTGTCGCAAGCACAAGAAATTCTAAACTGACAATTTTTTTTTATTTTGAAGTGCTAAACCTGTAGAGGCCACAAAGCACCTGGAGCAATGGAAGGCAATTAATCTCGATCCAAGGGAGGTGAGGAAAGGTTTAATATTTTGCATCAAGAGCTTCTTCTCAGCATCAAGGAACCTCCCTAGAGGAGCAAATTGGTAACTGGATGCCAGGTAAACTCAATACGCAGCTTCAAGAGTATATATAATGAGGCCCACAAGCCAGAAATCGGTGACGCCGATCAAAGTAGTCTAGGAGGCGGGGCCAGGAGCCGAGTCTCGATCCCCGCAAAGCAATTCAGTTAGTAATGTGGTAAACTTAGTTAAACCCGTTAAAGTCACGGTGAGATTTATAACAAGGTTCCCTGCCACAATAATAATAATAAAAACAGAATAATCTTTAATAGTGTATCAGAATGGAAAATAAAATTATTATATAAAACTTGCATGAACAGCTAACCTTTGATCTGATGGAGCAACTTTTAGGGACTTTCCTTATCAATAATAGCGGTGTTAGGTCAAGTTAAACTACTTAGGTATAATGACAACGTCCTGCTCCTCAGAACACTCGGTAAATTGTAGGTACCGCAAGCAGTATACCTTCAAAATGATATCTTGCAATAAAGATCATATAGACACCGCTGAAAATAATTACTATAATTTTCTGGAAGATCTATTCAGTCTTATGTTGCTGACGTCAACTCTGGGATGCTCTATGTTGAGATGGGTGCAGATCGGGTGTAGACTTTCCGAGGTCGGATTGGGGCACACTTGCGAATCTCTAATCAAACAGACGAAATATATAGAGACCGTGTAGAGAAAAATACAAAAGCTAGACATACAGGCGAGACGTAGAGTCTAGCCATAAGCGTCAGGCATACTGGACAGCAGTCTAGGGATTGATCCTACAGGTAAGACACAGATGTCAGATATTAAGGTGAAATATTGAGACAACATTGAAACTGAACCTTTAGTGGCCGGGCATGGAGGCCAGCTGTAGATACACAAGTGCCAAAGATAATGACTTGTGTGTAGAGATCATGCGAAGAATTCGGTCCCAAGTGTGAAGACGAATCGTTGGAAGGTGTCGAGGAGTGTGGCCCAGAGTGTGTGGTCCGGCACGAACACTCTGACCTGGGACGCCACCAGCCCCGCCAACCTGACCAACACAACACTTGGGTCACGTATTTGAGAATTTATTGTTTATTACAGTATTTTCTATATAATGTTGAAAGTTGAGAAAAATCGTGCTAAATTTAAACGCCTATAGCTTGATATGACATTACTGATAGCATGCTTAGCATCTCGCAGACTGAATATTCAGTTGAAAAAATAAGCAACTATGTATATAGAAATATACAATTTATATTTTTTAACCCGGCTCCTGGGATCCAAGCTAACCTCCCCACGTCTTCACCCACCTGACCACCATACTACAAACATCAGGTACCTAGTGTGTACACTGGATCTGACACTCCTGATTCGAGCACATTCGTGGCCGGGGGATACTACAGAGGACTAATTTCATTCTTCACCCGTCTGGAATGCTAGTTTCACGAGCAGTACACATTAATAAATCCACAGAACAAGCACGCACAAGCGCGCGAACACACACACACACACACACACACACACACACACACACACACACACACACACACACACACACAAATAAGGAAAAATAAGAGACTAAGAAGAGAGAGAAGAGAACAGTATATATAATTCAATATAAACAAATGGATATTGAGAGTCAAACATAAGCGATAACAACACACTGATATACTTACCCGAGCCCTGCTGATGCTAGAGTGGAGAAGAACTGGTGATAAAACCCTGGATAGGTGACAATGAGCCATGTTCCAATCAGCACAGCCAGCGTTATCCCTGTGGGCACCTTGGATGACGACGCCTGTACCCGGGCATGAACATTAGGAAGCAGCGTCATCATTTAGAGTTTATGAACAATGTGTTTTGGAAATTTGTAACACAGGGACATTTACGTGCGACGCGGAGAGATGGGAGTAGCCATAATGGCAGCAAAAAATGAATGATTTGATATAAAATGTTAGCAACACGAGTTATTTTGAGTTATTGAAAATACCTAAATTCTGTATTACCTAGGCTTTTTCAGGCTGCAGTCTTTTGTCACCTGGGGTACAGAGCAAGACAATGGATTCAGTTACTTTGTATCAGCATCATTATGTCTAGTTATGAGCAACTATGTAATTATAGATTAATTTCTTCATAATTGTCTATAAAACAATGTAATTGATACATGAATCCTAAAAACTTATTCATTTCTAAATTATTTAAGCTTGTGTGTGTTTAATAACAAAATCTTACAAAAGTTTTACGGGAGGGACCAAAACGGCAAGTGTCAAAAATAATTTTAAGATGCTTATGAAATAATGCCTTAATATGAAATGGAAAAGACAAAAAAAAAAATCCATAAGAATTGCATAAATTTATCAGAATTTTCAAATCAATATGTAATTAACTTATGTTTAAGCATCATGAACCTAACATGGTATTTGGAATATTTTTTTATGAGCAACTAACTTTGAAAAGTGAAGATATAAAAAGTAATAAATACAGAGGATAAAACAAATTTTAAAAGCCTACATTTGTGGTCACAGTATGACCCATGTTACTCTTCCTGGTACATAGAAATATACCTAGTTAGCGATTAGTAAGTTTATTGAGGTACAGGCACACACAACTACAATTATCATAGTGTAAATTACCTTGAATAACTCAAAAAGTCAGGCATGGTGACTAATTTCCATTGGCATTTTAATTTTAGGGCTTGTTTGCTAGGGTTAAAATCATGTCCATTCCGTGAGTAGTCTACAATTGTGTTAATAAAATTCTGCGAATCAGTATTTACCTACATACATATAGTATGCAGGAAATCACTACTATAATATGAAAATATGCGAGTCTGCCCGCTAGTGAGAAAATTACAGAAACCAGGAAGCTCTGAGCAAGAAAATTCAACAGTTTCTATATAAATAATTTGTCTAGTCTGTTGAATAGTATAGATCATTATTTATATTTAAGACATATGCATTTCATTTAAATGTGCTTAACGAATGCTAACTGTAACCATAGTTATTGTTGTACTAGTTATATATAGTTGATGCTGTTCATCAATACTCTAAAGGCCAGTTCTATCGATGATTATTATGCATATGTTGTTATACATTGACAATGATCAGATTTCCCCGACAAATTCTTTTATCTTCTTAGGATTCCTTTTTCTTCTTGAATTTCCACAATGGGTCATTATATATATTTCAATGAAGGGAAAACTTGTTACAGATTGCTTCAGTCTCAAGTCCTTTCAGAAGAGTTTGTAGGTAAAGTGCTCAGAGATGAGTCGAGGGGATTCACATCTCTGAAATGCACCGCTTTTTCTAGTACCTATGAAAGGAAATTCTTCGTAAGCCATGCGTGTCGTACGAGGCGACTAATATGCCGGGAACAAGGGGCTAGTAACCCCTTAGTTGCAGGAATTGAAGACCTTGACAAATATGTAAAATTTTGATTTTGCCTCGTGGACAAACTTTTTTCTTTCTCCACACTACACATTTTTTTTCCTCACACTTATTCTGTGATTCACCTCATCTTTGTAAGACCCATTTGCAAATAAATGTATGGAATACCTAATTCTTAATGTAGTTCATAGATTATACTGAGGAAATGCATCTACTCATTCTACTGTATGTAATTCAACTTTTAATTTGAGCGGTGATATGACTACAGTTATGAGTGGAAGAAAGATAGAAATAGTATATAGATAGGATATTGAAAATATAAAAGCAATAGTGAATTCACAACAACGAATTCAAACTGGGCAAAGTTAATCTTAAAATTTGATTTCGTTCAAGGTCAACTGACTTCAATGACTTCAGTGTCATAAAGGAAAGCGTTGCCGGGGAGTGGAACAAACTGGTAAACAACATTAGTGAAGTAAATTCTATGGAATGTTCAGGTTTCACGCTCACAGGCTTGGTGCATTTTTATTAATACTAATATAAAAATAGGTTAAGATAGATTACTGAAAATAATTGAAAGTAAACAAAACCTACCTTGCATGCAGATGTCATTTTAATTTTATTTGAAGAAGGGGAACGTCTGACTCACCTCTATGATGGTGCCAAGCGCGTATGTAGCTTGTCCTCCGTATTCAATGCCAGTTCCCACTAGTGCCAGGCCAGATCCCACTGCTGCCACCACTGCCGACACAGCTGACACCAACGCTGATATCAAGAACGGCACATTCGACACCGCCTGTGGTGATGAGATGAAAAAACGAAAAAAATCCCATACCTGAACTGTTAAAATACTAACAGAAAACATGACAGCTATGGTAATTGATTTTTTCCAAACAAAAATAAAAATATTACTAATACAACTACCCAGTTACAAAATGCAACAAATTTCTAAATAATTATACTGACAAATTATATAGCCATATAACTACAGTATTAAATAATAATTAAAATTACATTAGCAAGTGCTAATTCTTATTATATTGAAGGGTAGTGCTAAATCCATAGAAATCATACATCACCTGCAAAACTGGGAGGTAATCAGGTCCAATTCCTTGCACCAAAAGTTCTCTATCATCGAGGAACCTTCATTGAGGGGAAGAGAGTGCTGAAAGTTTGTCTTCAGGGATCACCACACCTGCTACCATCGATATCTTTCCACGTAAAAACTTTATTTTGACCCTGAGTGGTTTCATCTGTTTTTCCACTGAATTTGTACACCATTTTGATTTGGCAACCAAATACCACCTGGCTTTTATCGCACAGGAGAATATGAAGGTGGACAGATACCCTATCAATTGTACGAAAGTATATGTATTACCATTTACAAAAACAAGTGTGTCCGCCTCACCAGTAATGTTCTTCATTGCAAAATCCTCTGAAGTGGGTGGCTACAGAGGTCTTACCAAGAATCCAAACTGTTTAGAGAGGAACAATATTCAATTACATCAATATTCCTGCGAGCATCTGGGGAATGTCAGATGACATCGCCGGCCTGACAGCAGCAGCATCCCGCAAATGAAGAGCCTAAGTTCAAGCTTACACCTCCACCTTCAGAAGAATTCCTCTTTATCAGTCCTCATCTTCAATATTTATGCAGGGGTCAACAGGCAAGTTCAATGCTATATAGGAGCCAGAAGTGGGGAATGGTCCACCAATGTTAGTCTTCCCTGATCCCTCACTAATGCGACCAAGGAACACAGTGCAAAGGCATAAAAAAATTATGCCGAGAAAAGTTCATGCCAAGTCAGCACTTCTAGATACCTCCAGTACTATCAAAGTAATTCACTCTCCATTAGGAAAAGTAACAGTCATCACTGCAATTAAATTAATTGGAGCATCAGAATCCCTGCGGGTCAGTGCAAAACATGGGGGAGACTTGATCGTTCAACCGTTAAACACAAGACATTCTACCTAACTGTACTCGTCTTCGGTTGTTTCAGTCAAGACCTTGACAACCATTCCAATTCTTGAAAAACATTTATCGAATAGGAAATTCTCCCAACTATTTAGGCCGAATGAGAGTTGCTGGGTTAATAGTAACCACGGAAGGTTACACATTGTACAAATAAAAAGACTAGGTCATATGCAAACGATTTCTGGGTCAGTATATGTTATGAATGAATTTACACACTTGATCTAAATATAAGATATACATTAATCATTCCCTAAATCTGTAAAAAGCTTAATAAAGAGCTTCTGAAACGGTGACACTTTTAATCTTTTTTCCCTCCCTATCCTCCACCCTTACCCCTTTCAGAAAGCTGTAGAAGGTGTGAAAATAAACAGACTAGCAAGCAGCAGAGACGAGCATGTAAACAAGGGAGTGACACAAGTGGTTCTCACCTGTGTGATGACAGAAGCATAGTTCAAGAAGGGGAAGATCAGAGCCGACAGATCCCTCACGTGACGTCCGCTCTGCCGCAGTGTCCTCCGCAAATCAAAAACATGCCGCAGCTTCTCTTCATCCCACACACTCACTACTGCCGCAGCTATTACCTCCAGTGCACCTGCAGTAATGTATCTCCTTTTAGTTGAACTGAGACACGCTTTATTCCTATAATACACACACAGACGAATTAAAATTTTGTTAATAATATTCTGTATATCATTGATGAGTGTGCATCAGTACATCGTGACATCTGTAAGGGATGCTTCCTACTTGGCCCTGGCTGAGGGCTCATCTCCTCCAGGCTGGGGACGTTGTTGGTCTGCGCCGCCACCTCTGCAACACTCACTGCCGCCCACCACCACCACAACACTCCGCCTACATGCCTGGCCAGATGAAAATATTTTTAATTAAATATGAAATTTAACTGGAGTGAATGTAACAAAGAAGTATTAAGAATTTAACTTGCTCGACCTGGTAATTTGGACGTTACACTGAGCAAACTATCCCTTCACTTTTATCTGAAATTTCTATAATATACGTTATGCAAGGGTAGCGTGATCGTCCCACGTTTGCTGGGTTAGTAGTTTACGGTAACATAAAATTCAAATAGCACAGTATTATTTAAAGTAAATGTTTAAAAGAGAAGAAAAAGACCAGGACTAGTGGAGCAGTAAGACCTGTTCTAAGCTTTGTCGTTCTTTCCAGGCACGACAGAGGCGTGCCTTGCTTTGTTAGGTGTCGATGGAAAGCAAATGCACCAGAACGTAAACTTTCACCACAGTATGAGGTGCAGAAGAGCTCTGAGAAGAACCGGCGGTTGAGGAATGTGAAGGCTTCCTACTGGATGCCTCGAAGAACCAGGAAACGATGCAACACCGGGGTCAGTGTATCTGCGGACGCCTGAGGTTCAGGACGAGTCACGCGAGAATACAACAGACAAAAGGCGGCATTCATCACGGAGCATTTATTATACTCTTGGGAAGCCCTAAACCCATAGTGGTCATAAAGCGCCTGGAGGAATGGAGGATAATCAGGTTGGATTCAAGGAATGGAAGAGTGGATCCAATTCTTTGGCTCAAGAGCCTTTTATCAAGGCAACCCCTTTAAGAGAACGGGGTGAAGATTACTGTTATTATATTCAAGAGAAAGTGCTGAACTAGTAGGAAATAATGTATGCAGTTAAATATGACTCTGAAGAAAACGTCTAGGTTATAAGAATGAAAAATACAATCCCTTAGAGCAATGTTCAAGAGAAATTAAATATTGCATTCAGCGAGATCTGAAATAATGATGAAGTTTGAATTGAACAGTTTATACCAAAAATGGGTAAAAGAAAGTATATTAGACAATGGATTAATGGAAGATGTTGGAGAGCTATTAAAAAAAAAATATAGGAGGAGGGCTGATTCAGGAACCTATCAGTAATATAAACAAACCAGAAAAGAATGCACAAGTGTAGAAAGGGAAGAAGCAAATAAACAGGATAACTATAAAACCATATCTTTTATTCAGTTTTGTAAAATGACCAAATCTTTGCAAATGATTTGGATAAAATGAACAGATCGAGAGATATGGAAAACGAGAATTAATGCTGATAAATGAAGTGTAATGGAAATCTGAGAATGCGAAACAAGACTAAATGAAGAATTACGGGAAAATTGTCTTTTACAAAGAAAGGGATCAAAGAGTTACCAGATCATATAATAAACCGTGAGAAATATATATATATATATATATATATATATATATATATATATATATATATATATATATATATATATATATATATATATATATATGCAAGGAATTCGCGAGAGCAGGGACGAGATGAAAAGCTGTAAGCCTTCTCCCTGAAAGCTGGCTGCCTTGGATCAAACGTGTAGCGCAAGCTACACGCCAAGGTATTGTCCAGTGTGGGTAGATTGGTAAAGCACTGCGTACCTTGTCCTAGGGTTCGTAGGTTCGAGTCTCCTTCAGCCAGAGATCAATGTTCATGTATGTATATATATATATATATATATATATATATATATATATATATATAATATATATATATATATATATATATAATGCTACACTGGCTAACAGTAAATAACTTAAATGCATATATGGAGGGAAACTGAAATGTTTAAAAGGCATGTTAAGCAGAAAGTGCAGCCGGCTTTTGCTGTGTTGGTTCACATCTAAAATATCAGATGGAAAACGACCAGAGCTAAAAATGGTTCCCAGAACTAAAAAAAAAAGTTGAAAGGATGGAAACATTAATGATGGCAACTGTGGTTAATGGAAGAAAAAACAGTAGATATAAAAGCACATGAAACAAAGTATTTAATATAATCAGTGATAACAAGAGGCCACAAAAAATTAAGAACAAAACTCTAGATAAAAAAATATTCGACATTTTTTCTTTATAAACAGATTGCTAGAAGAAGAAAAAATAAAGGGCTACAATCACTGGACTTTTATAAATTGTGTGAAGAACATATTGAAAACAGGACACCACAAGCATAGCTCTGCTCCTACAGTTACATAGGTATCTACTCCAGGCATATCAAGGCCTTTAAATTTCAGCCGACCGTAGATATATTTTAATATTCCTCAAATATTTCCATAAGTTCATACAAAAGATAGTGTCTGGATGGAAAAGTGTCTTAGTAAGAACGTAGGATGAGCAGTGTCATTTTTTTTTATATAAATTCACACCGAGAATGCAATGAATGGATACTTAGATTTTGCTCGAGTCGTTATTTAGGGAATTTCAGAATTTGTGACGGTGGTGAACAGATTATTAAGCAGCCTTAATGGCCCTCGTGTAGTTGACACACGAGTGCGGGTAAGAGCCATCCAGAGAGCATCAAGTGATCCCACCGCCTAGTAAGAGCCATCCAGAGAGCATCAAGTGATCCCACCGCCTAGTAAGAGCCAGCCGGAGAGCATCAAATGATCCAACCGCCTAGTAAGAGCCATCCTGAGAGCATCAAGTGATCCCACCGCCTAGTAAGAGCCATCCAGAGAGCATCAAGTTATCCCACCGCCTAGTAAGAGCCATCCAGAGAGCATCAAGTGATCCCACCGCCTAGTAAGAGCCATCCAGAGAGCATCAAGTGATCCCACCGCCTAGTAAGAGCCATCCAGAGAGCATCAAGTGATCCCACCGCCTAGTAAGAGCCATCCAGAGAGCATCAAGTGATCCCACCGCTAGTAAGAGCCATCCAGAGAGCATCAAGTGATCCCACCGCCTAGTAAGAGCCAGCCAGAGAGCATCAAGTGATCCCACCGCCTAGTAAGAGCCAGCCAGAGAGCATCAAGTGATCCCACCGCCTAGTAAAAGCCAGCCAGAGAGCATCAAGTGATCCCACGCCTAGTAAGAGCCAGCCAGAGAGCATCAAGTGATCCCACCGCCTAGTAAAAGCCAGCCAGAGAGCATCAAGTGATCCCACCGCCTAGTAAAAGCCAGCCAGAGAACATCAAGTGATCCCACCGCCTAGTAAGAGCCAGCCAGAGTGCATCAAGTGATCCCACCGCCTAGTAAAGAGCCAGCCAGAGAGCATCAAGTGATCCCACCGCCTAGTAAGAGCCATCCAGAGAGCACCAAGTGATCCCACCGCCTAGTAAGAGCCATCCAGAGAGCATCAGGTGATCCCACCGCCTAGTAAGAGCCAGCCAGAGAGCATCAAGTGATCCCACCGCCTAGTAAGAGCCAGCCAGAGAGCATCAAGTGATCCCACCGCCTAGTAAGAGCCAGCCAGAGAGCATCAAGTGATCCCACCGCCTAGTAAGAGCCAGCCAGAGAGCATCAAGTGATCCCACCGCCTAGTAAGAGCCAGCCAGAGAGCATCAAGTGATCCCACCGCCTAGTAAAAGCCAGCCAGAGAGCATCAAGTGATCCCACCGCCTAGTAAAAGCCAGCCAGAGAACATCAAGTGATCCCACCGCCTAGTAAGAGCCAGCCAGAGTGCATCAAGTGATCCCACCGCCTAGTAAGAGCCAGCCAGAGAGCATCAAGTGATCCCACCGCCTAGTAAGAGCCAGTCAGAGAGCATCAAGTGATCCCACCGCCTAGTAAAAGCCATCCAGAGAGCATCAAGTGATCCCACCGCCTAGTAAAAGCCAGCCAGAGAGCATCAAGTGATCCCACCGCCTAGTAAAAGCCATCCAGAGAGCATCAAGTGATCCCACCGCCTAGTAAAAGACATCCAGAGAGCATCAAGTGATCCCACCGCCTAGTAAAAGCCATCCAGAGAGCATCAAGTGATCCCACCGCCTAGTAAAAGCCAGCCAGAGAGCATCAAGTGATCCCACCGCCTAGTAAAAGCCAGCCAGAGAGCATCAAGTGATCCCACCGCCTAGTAAAAGCCATCCAGAGAGCATCAAGTGATCCCACCGCCTAGTAAAAGCCAGCCAGAGAGCATCAAGTGATCCCACCGCCTAGTAAAAGCCAGCCAGAGAGCATCAAGTGATCCCACCGCCTAGTAAAAGCCATCCAGAGAGCATCAAGTGATCCCACCGCCTAGTAAAAGCCAGCCAGAGAGCATCAAGTGATCCCACCGCCTAGTAAAAGCCAGCCAGAGAGCATCAAGTGATCCCACCGCCTAGTAAGAGCCAGCCAGAGAGCATCAAGTGATCCCACCGCCTAGTAAAAGCCAGCCAGAGAGCATCAAGTGATCCCACCGCCTAGTAAAAGCCAGCCAGAGAGCATCAAGTGATCCCACCGCCTAGTAAAAGCCAGCCAGAGAGCATCAAGTGATCCCACCGCCTAGTAAGAGCCAGCCAGAGAGCATTAAGTGATCCCACCTCCTACTGAAGACAATACGAGACGAAAGTTTGCTATCCAGGCAAAACTCTTTGCTGACAGTTTCGCACTTACTGTTACATAAATATGTCTTTGGTTTGAAATTTTCTTATACAAAATAATTTATAATGACTTGTGTGCGAACTGAATTAAAAAATTGAAGTTCTTGAAATATATTCTTCTCAGCTCTCAAGGTAGACCAATCAACGACTAGTATCCACAAACACTATTAGTTAGCTAGTAGTAGCAATAGTAGTAGTAAGTGTAGCAATTATAGTATTAGAACAAATACGACTAGTAGTTCATTTCTGAGAATCAGTATTATATTTATTAATGGAGAGCGCTAAACTCGTAGGGGTTGGACAGAGGCTGGGGAAGGGGAGCCAATTACTTTTGATTCGAATACGAAGGGAGGGAAGTAGCTCTAATTTTTTGGATCAAGAGCTCTTTACTAGGAGCAAAGTGATAATATCTCTGCCTTTCCATATCCTCTCGTCTACTGAAGGGTCACGGGTATGTTTACCTTGCTCTGATCAGCTACATTCCCCAATTGAACAATAGTGACTGGAGATTCACTGGCCTTGTTTATTC